TGAGAACAAAGACCTGTCATGTAAAGGTACAAGATCCCAGTGATGAATGTAACTGTACTGTATCCCTAAAATGCACCAATAAACTCAATGAGAAAAAAATTTGATGTACTCTCATTTGTCTATATTTTCTTTTGCTGTCTATTTTTAGTGGCATGTCTGAGAAATAGTTGTTAAATTCAATGTCATGGAAAATTTCCCTTCATGCTTCCTTTTAGGAATTTTATAGTTTCAGAGCTAATATTTGAATCTTTAATCCATTTTGAGTTAATTTTTATATATGGTGTAAGGTAAGAAACGAGCTCATTCTCTTGCATGTGACTGCCCAGTTTTTTCAAAGCTATTTCTTGAATGATCCTTTCCCAATGTGTGTTTTGGCATCTTTCTTGAAGATCAGTTTACCTCCTTTCTTTTTTTGTGTGTGAGACAGGGTCTCACCATGTAGTTGAGACTGACCTGGAACTCACTATGTAGCCCAGGCTGGTCTCAAACTTACAGTGATCCTCCTGCCTCAGCCTCCTGAGTGCTGGGATTACAGGTGTGCACCACCACTTCCGGTTCTTACCTCTTCTTTCTTTTTCTTGCTTGACTTCTCTGGTGAGATGTAAATAGAAGTGAAAAGAATGGCAACCTTAACTTGTTCCAGAGCTGAGAGAGAAAGCTTTCAATTTTTCGCTATTGGGTATGATGCTATTTGTGGCCAGCAGTGTTGTTCTTTCTTTCTTTTCTTTATTCTACTTTTTTTCTTCCAGCACTGGGGATTGAAGCCAAGGCCTTGTGCACGTTAGGCAAGTGCTGTAGCCCTGAGCTACACTCTCAACCTCTTTTTTTTTCAGCTTTAATTGAGTTTATTGGTACATTTTAGGGATACAGTACAGTTACATTCATTGTTGGGATCTTGTACCTCTACATGACAAGTCTTGATTCTCATTTTTTCCCCTTACCTCTGCCCTCCCTTCACCCCCTCCTCCCCTCCCCATCTACAAACACTTTATTTTCATCTTTTCGCTCTCTCACATTTTTTCCTTTTCCCTTTTTACTCTTCCCCTACCCACCCCACCTTCCCTACACCTTTAGCTCCTTTCTTCCCATTTCTAAATGTCAGTAATCTTATTAGAATCTTATGCATTGTGTAAATACTGAATAGTTTCCCTGGTGTGAATAATCTGAATAATCTCAACCTCTTTTTTAAGGGGGGACTCTCTAAGCTCCCTAGGCTGGCCTCAAACTTGTGATCCTCCTGCCTAAGTAACAGGAAAGATTACAGGTGCCCAGAAATTCTATTCTTTTTATTTTCTTTTTTTATCCAGTACTAGAGATCGAACTCAGGACCTTGCACTTACAGGGCAGGCATGGTGCCACTGAGCTAAATCCCTGACCTCTAGAAGTTCTATTCTTTCTTTCTTTCTTTCTTTTTGGTACCAAGGATCAAATTCAGGACCTTGTGCTTTCGAGGCAGGTGGTGGAACCAATGAGCTAAATCCCCAGCCCACAGAAGTTCTATTCTTCAATGTATGCCCCTGAGAAAATTTTGCACATGCATTTCTAGAGATATGTACAACAATGTTTATAACACTATTTTTTTTTGTAAAAACAAAACAGAGCTGAAGACAACTGGACTATCTCCACCCCTCCCATACTAGGGATTCATAGGTGCTCTATCACTGAGCTATATCCATATCTTTTCTTACATTTTATTTTGAGACAGGCCTTGCTAAATTTCCCAGATGGGACTCAAACTTGAGGTCCTCCTGCCTCAGCTTCCTAGAGTGCTGGGATTACAGGCCTCATCATACCTGGCTTGGACTATCTCTTGACAAAAGAATGGTTAATTGTGGCATGTTCACTTATTTAACTAAAATACATCAGTAAAAATAAATTAAACCTATTTGTAGCCACATGAATGAATATCACAAACAATTTTGAGACAAAAAGGCAAACTGTCAAAACTTTCACATTGGGCTAGGGATTTAGCTCAGTGGTTCTGGTGCCTGCCTTGCAAGCACAGTGACCCAATCGAGTTCGATCCCTGGTACCCAAAAAAAAAAAAAAAATCACATTATAACAGAATGGTTTTGTATTAGTAAATAATCTATATGTAGTTAAAGAATACTGAAATTCAAGAAATGGGAAATGTAAAACTATTAGAGTAGAGGATTTCTCCAGGGGAAGACAAAATGGATATACTCAAACAGGAACAAACAGGAGGCCTCACCAATATTAACAATAATCTCTTTGTTAAGCTCGGTGTAAGTATAGGATATCCGACTTACTTATTTAATCTTATTTTCCATTGTATATGTTCTTTTATATGTATGAAATATCTGAGGATAATAAAAATGCATTCATTTATTCGACAAACATTTACCAAGCACCTAACATGTACTGGGACTGAGATATAGGAGTGAAAAATGAAACAAAATCCAGCAAGAGCAAAAGGCTTCTTGGAGTTAGAAGGTGAAAATAGCCAACATAAGTATTTTAGGGTTAGGGATTTAGCTCAGCGGTAGTTTGCTTAGTGTGTGCAAGGCTGTGGGTTTAATCCTCAGGGTGCGATAATTAATTAGTTAATGTTTCATCCAGGAGAAATTTTAGTAAACTAAACCCATACCAAGTTTTATTAAGTATGACCCACAATTGGCCAGGAGACACCACCCACATCTGCTACCCCAGAATGAGGCAGTAACTCGAGCTAACTCCCAATTATTTATGGAAGGCAAGGGACAGAATGGTATGGTTGTCTAAAGAGAAGTTCTCGTGTGCTCAGTTAGAGCAACATCAGGTGAGGGAAGTGGGCAGGGGTCCCCCAAATTATAATTAATCAAAAACATCAGTTAATCCAAATAATACAAAAGAACAAAAAAACACCATTTCCATTTGTCTTTCGGGTGTGCTGTCCTCCAAGTGTATCACATTCGCTTTCTCTGGCACAGGTGGTGTCAGCTCCATCCCATCTACTTGGCACTGCTTAGAGAAAACCACTGCTGATTCATTCACCCACTCAACATCTGCTTGATGTCTGTCACTGGTCTGACAAGAAGCTCTGATCCCTGTCTTCAGGGGGTTTAGTTTATTGAGGAGAGAGACATAGAGAGACCGAGTCTTCAAAAAAACCTTTAAAACAATATTATAAATGTTGAAATGGAAATATAAACAAAACACTGTGAGCCACACAGAGGAGCGAGCATCTATTTTTCATACAGAATGTGTCCTTGTTGGGCCTGGGATTTAGCTCAGCAGCACTGTGCCTGCCTTGCAAGCATAAGGTTCTGAGTTTGATCTCCAGTACCAGTACCAGAAAAAACAAAAACAAACAAACAAGCAAAAGAAAAAGTGTCATTGCTGGCTTCTCAGAAGTGATGGATGGAATTTAGGCAGCACTCAAGGTCACATAGGAATTTCCTGGAGGAGAGGAAGAAGGGCATCTAGATAGAAGGGCCAACATGAAGAAGCATGTGGCATCACAGGGCCTGAGATAGCAGGAAGCCAGCGTGGCAGCGGCCTAGAGCAAGCAATGTGTGAGAGATCTAAGTGCACCTCGGCTGACCATTGGCAAGCGTGAAGATCCCTTTGAATGTGATATAGTAGGACATGGGCAGGTTTGGGAGCCAGAACCATACTCAGATTCAGCTCCACCATCCTTAGAAGAGTAATTTTGGTTGTGTTACTTAACCTGTCTGAGTTGCAATTGTTTTATCCATAAAATGGGAATAATAAGGCCTCTTTATTGGGTGACTGGGACAGTTCAATTAGGTTTGGATATGGAAAGTGTCTCAAGCTCCAGGATTAGTTTTTCTTCTCTGAACTGTGGTTTTTGTTTCCATAAGAATATTACTTTAGTAATGCAAAGGAAGTCACTCAACATAAAAGTAGCCAATTAGCGTTTGTGAGAACACATCTACTGTGCAGAGCAGTATTAATCTGAGTCATATTTTTTCCACTAGCATTTCGACTTTCCCATCTCTACTTTGTCCTAACCAACATGAAAAAAGAATTTTGTATTTACATTTCCTAACTTCTCATTGACCAGGGTGGAAAAGATAGCCAAGGGGCCAGGAAAGGCATCAGGAACTAACCAAGCAAATGGCTTAGGGACACTCTCCAAATGGGCATAGAGTAATCTTTCAAAGAGAAAAGAGTGAGTAGCTAAAATTGGTCAAGTGCTTACTATATGCCAGGCTCTATGTTAAGGCTTTACCTAAATTAGTGCATTTAACCTTCACAACAAACTTTTGAGTAAGCCATAGTAAGTTACTATGTCCATTTTATAGATAAGGAAAGTAAGGCTTAACAAAGTTAAGTAACTCACTCAAGTCTACACAGAAGGAAGGTGGAAAAGAAGGATTTCAACCTAGGTCTTAATGTCAGAGCCCAAAATGTCTTAACAAGTGTGTGTGTGTGTGTGTGTGTGTGTGTGTGTGTGTGTGTATGGGATAGATAGGGGTTTTTTACCAGAATTACATTCATAGCACTTTTGTCAGTGTGTGTGTGTTTGTGTGTGTGTGAGATAGGTTCTCTGTAAGTTGTACAGACTGGCCTCAAACATGGGATACTCCTGCCTCAACCTCACAAGTAGCTGGGATTGTAAGTGTGCACTACCACACCCGTCTTAACCACTTCTTTTAGGGAGGTACAGAGGAATCTTAGTGTCCTAATTTGACAGAACTCAATTGTCTTGTGATGGAGATCAGAGGGGTTTTCTTCTCTTTTCACAAGAAAGGGAAATAACTACAAAAATTTTATTCTGAATTTTAAAAAACTAACCTGCCACGATGATTTTGGTGGAAGTCAATCATCTTTTGATGACTTTTTCTGGGCTACCTGGCCATATATCAGCTAGGTCTTCCTCAGCCCCTGAAACTCACCCCATTCCCATGGGTTGATTCCTTCACTGTTGGAACATCCTCTTCTTGTTGAATCTTGGTCCACCCATAGCACTGGAGGCCCCTGGATTCTGGCAGACATCCATGTCCCTCCAGGGCTATTTGTCGAGGAGGGGGTGAGTAGAGATTTAATGACATGCTTTCCTTAACAATCCTCCAAACCTATCATCTAGGACAGGGTTTATAAGCATTCATCAACAACACCCTAGCAAAGTAGGTTAGTAGGGTGAGCCCACTGCTTGTTGAGGAATTTGGAAAGCTACGAAATTTTTACCAAGAGTCAAGATTCAAAGATTTGAATCCCAGTCCCTTCTATACTGCATGGCCTTCAGTAAGTGGCACAATTGCTCTTGTTGTCCATCATCTCCTTGCTTTCTGCATGTCCCCCACCCCCCTGCTGCCATCATCTCTTTTGGCAAAATCAAGGCTAAGCTTTGCCTTACTTCCCACAGAACTAATTAAAGTCTACAAAGTACTTTGAGAGCATTCAGTGTGGATTTCTTGCCAAGACAGAATTACAGGTGAGAATGGTAAGGAATGGGAATAGGTTAAAACTAGGATAGCTGAGTTTCTCTAAGGAAGGCTCCAATCAGCCTCTTCCCATGGAGTCTTACAGCTCTTTCCCTGCTTCCTGCTCAGGCATTTTGTTCCCCCTTTCACAGGATCATAGGGAAGGCAATGTGGGAACTGAGCTCTTGATTCTTTTTGTCCTTTCTCCTCCAAGTCACACACAGACTCCTCCAGACAATACTTGTCTTATGAAGAGGAAGTGGTTGGATTATGCCTTAGTCCGGAGCAAAGGCATCAGCTGCAGGACACCGTTGTATTTGCTGGGCTTCCAGTTGCTTCTCGGGCTTTTGGCTCAGATCAAGTATATTTTCTGGGCTTCCAACTGGTTGGTTAGTAATTGCTCTTGGGCCTCCTCTGTAGCATGGCCTTGACATGGGCACTTCTGGGAAGGGGGATTACAAAATTCCTCTGAAGAGTCACATCCTGCCCAGGAAGAGTTTACCTGCGAAGGCAAAACACACACAATAAAAACAACCCAAGAACAACTACAAAGCTACACTTAATACAGGCAAATAAAATAGCATTGGAGAGATTAAGGTCAGACTTCAGAAGAACATCCTCCCACGATAGATGTTGTGGATGCTCCTTTGCTCATAGGGTTAGGAGCAATCCTATTGGAAAGCAGGCTTCTTTTTCTTTAATACTATTCACTCATGTAACAAAAGTCTCAGTCTTAAGGGTATTTTTGGTATATGTCGATTTTAAGTAAATCAGCTGTACCTTTGGTATTTTTCCCTTTTATCTCTTCTTGTTCTATAAAACATATTCTTGCTCTATTCTCCTACTCCTATATTCTAAATAGCAAAGGCCTTTTTTTTTGGTACTAGGGATCAAACTTGGGCCCTTGGGCTTGTGAAGCAAGCGCAGGAACCACTGAGCTAAATCCCCAGCCCACAAAAGCTTTTTTTTTTTTTTCCCCCATTGCCCAAACCTTTTTTCCCTGTTGTAGGTGGACCTGTCATGGAACTAGCAAGTGTGCTTCCAGACAGAGGTGACCCAGTGTTGTTAAATATGCTTTAGCACATGTCTAAACCCATAAATGCTAAGACATCATAAGTCAAGAAGGATGAAGTGTGGACAGGCATGTACACCTCATAAACTCCCAGGAATTAATCTCTACATCCTTTAAACCAAAGGCTCCTGCAGGCTTTCACTGTTTTGGGAAAGCTCTCTATTGTCTCAATTGTATCAACTGGTAGCAAATTCTGGCACTCATATCCAAGGCAGGAGATTTATGATGCAACAAGAGAAGATATTTTCTGAGGGTTCTGACTTAGCAAGAAGGATTTTTCAAGTTGAATGAATACTTTGGGGAGATTATTTCATTCTGGTGTTTACCAAATGATAGAAGGAGGTGGTGGCCATGCCCAAGGATGTGGGGGTAATAGAAGAATACTGGGCCAAGATAAAGCATGCATACAAATAATTCCCTAAATGTGCAACACACAAAGATGACAAAGAAGAACAGACACTAGTGAAGAAATGGTCACCTCTCACCTGGATTATATCCTTATCATCAGAAGAAAGAAGGGAAAAGCGAATTTAGTTTGGGGAAGGGGACAAGATTATGGAGCTGACCAATCTCTGGCACCAGACTCACCCTAAAGCTGTCATTTCAGGCCAAGGGTTTGTGTGCTCAAACCTGTACAGGTTATGCCCACAGCATTGGGAAAGAAAACTCTATTCAGTGTGTACAACCACCAACGCATCTAACAGGCCCAATTTTCCTATGCAGCTCCCCATTCTACCTTGCAGTATCTCTCTCTCTCTCTCTCTCTCTCTCTCTCTCTCTCTCTCTCTGTATGTGTGTGTGTGTCTCTGTCTCATACTGGGGATTGAACTCAGAACCCTGCGCTTGCGAGGCAGGTGGAGGCATCACTGAGCTAAATCCCTGGCCCCCAGACCCTCTCTTCTTCAACACCTCCACCGTGCACTGATACTGCTAATCTTTTTTTTTTAAACCATGTGCAAGGCTTCTTAGCCTCCAGTGGATACCCCTAAGGAAAGGAAATGAACTGTATCTTAATATGGAGCAAGTGCCACTGACATAAAAGACCAAATAATACATTTTATGAACCTGAAGTGGCAGATGGCCCAGGAAGAATTATTTGATATCTGAGCAGGGATCCTGCCCAAAAGACTTCTGTGGAACTCAGTAACATCAGATTAATATCTAAGAATATTAGGCCATGGTCAGAGAAACTTACATGGAGGCAAACAAAACACAAGACACATGAGAAGGCTGGGGATATAGCTCAGTGGTAGACACTTGCCTAGTATGCACAAGATCCAGGGTTTGATCCCCAGCACTGCAAAAACAAAAAATAAAGGCACATGAAAACAATTACAGCTCACTAAGGCTAGGCAAAATCAAGTAGCACTTACTGGAAAATGTAGGCAAAATCAAGTAGCACTTACTGGAAAATGAGAGATTGAAGCTAAAGTTAGCTCTGTTCTTAGTTACCATTCATTGTGAGTATTCATTGTGAGCCAGGTGCAGTGATACAAAGTGTTTTCTATACTTTTCTGCTTTTCTCCCTTCTTTCTTTTTTTCCCCCTTCTTCCTTTGATACCAGGAACAGAACTCAGGCATATGCTCTATCACTGAGTTACACCCCAGACCTTTAATTTTTTACTTTGAAATAGGGTCTCACTAAATTGCCCAGGCTGGCCTTGAACTTGAGATCGCCCTGCTTCAGCCTTCCAAATAGCAAATATTACAGGCATGGGTCCCTGAGCCCAGCTGCTTCCCTTTCTTTTAATCATCACAAACTTTTGCAGTAGATATTGTCGCCACCACCTCAGAGATAGCATTAAGCAACTTACCCAAGGAAGTAGAAGCTTGAATTGAAACTCTTCTGGGTTGAAACTCATAATTGTGTGCTATAGATTCTTGCCTTGCTTGAGAAGGGGCTGTACAGCCTAAAGGGAGTGTTGTGAAAGGGAAGGGAAGAATTAGATGAGCTTCTATCATTCAGTCCCCTAGTTGGCCCACCCAGCTCTAATTCCTGAGCAGAGGAACAGTAAAAACTACAAGCTCAACAGATGCTAAGATTGTCTGAGCTCACAGGAGCGTGGACTAAAATGTTCCTCAAGAGGTCATCGTCCTTCTCCCAAATATAAGACTCTTTAGACTGCATGGAATTCACTTTCAGAAAGCAGGTGAACTACGTCTTAATGTAGTTCAGCTATGTCAGGGTAGCACACTTCCCTCACATAGAACATTATACACTTTGTGAACCTCCAGACTGACTAATTTAACTCTATTATTTTTACTGGATTCAATAAAATTAGCAGAAAAAGGCATCTGGGGACCTCTTCATTGACTTTCTGCATGGCAACTTTTTCACATGTGAAGTTGCTGCTGCGAGATGAGCATCAGAACATCTTAGGCTAGAGAACACTCAACTACTTGGTGCAGTAAAAAACGAAAAAAAGTTGTTATTGTTCTCCAAGAAGTTATGTCCTCAAACACAGGCAATAACAACAGATACAAGATTCAACATGGCATGGGTGTTAAAAAACAAAACCTATGGTCCTTCAGCCAGGAGCCCCTTGAGCCAAGCCCATTTACCAGATGCTAATGGAGCCACAATCTATTTGAGAAAGTCTTCAGCAAGAAGGCAGGATATTTGATCCTATGTTCTACTTTTGTTTCCAACTCCTGGGACATTTACTGGAGGATGTACGATGTGGTCAGCACTGGGAGTGAAGCGTGCATGTGTATCTGCTTTTCAGAGTTGGGGAGCCATGTTCCACCCAACACATCCATCTCAGGCATGGAGTTGAATTTGGCAGTACAGGGGAGGGTGCAGGGATTAATGTCGGGTGCTGAGTCAACAGTTTCCCCATTACCACTTCCTCAAAGAGTGGGGGAGTTGTAGGAAACCACATGAGTTTCACTAATCCCCCATCAATGGCACTCACTGCATTACTGGCCTCATTATTTCTTAATGGGACTTTGTTGATTACAGACTGCTTAATTACAATGACAGACTTGTTCATGGTTAGGGGGGGCCTGGGGCAAGAAATTAAAGTTGAGATGGTATGGGGGCCTGTGACTGCAGCTAACTCCCACCTCCCACCCACTGTCCTGCTGTCCAGGGTGGGGGCTAAGGTGAGGAGAGAGTTTCTGGCCAGTGACATTGGGCCTCTTACTACTGCCCTCCACCTCCAAATAATAACAGCTTCCAGATAAGAAACAAGAATCATCTTCCTCTTATAACTGTTTTCCTAGTGTACTTCCTTCATTGGGCTTTTTGAAATTTGATAATCAGAAAGAAACAGTAATATCATGTCACTGTGAACCATAGGTATAGTGTAACTTTTGGCACATAATAAGTACCTAACAGATATTTGTTGAAAAAACGAAAGACTACAGAAAGACAATATAATAGGAGGAGAGGCATACCAAGAGAGCAGGCTGATGGTTTACCTGGGTTGACCTAATTGACTCAAGTGGCTCTTTGGGCAAAGCGGTCAGTCCCCTACCCCCACTAAAATCACCAACTGCTCAACAGGGCTGACAACCTCAGAAGGTAATTTATGCATCAAATGAGTAAAGGAGATGGGGAAGAAGAAAGATAAGGCTTTTCTCCGTGTATATGTGGGGCAGTTCTAAAGAGGTGGATTTGGGTAAAGCAAAGGCTAGGAAAGGTGAAAAACCAGTGAACCAGCTGCCTGTCAGAAGAGTATGGGACATTTCAGACAATAAGCACAAAAGGTTAGGGACAGTCCAGGAGGCCAGGTCCATTTCAAGTGATACAATTTTGTTCTTTCATGGTCTTGAACTGACCTCACTTTGCCACTCCTACCACCCCTATCCCAGACACTCGATAGTCTTGGTTTAATCCCAAGCAACTATTAATCACTTGCACTAAAGAGATGTAGTGGAAAATGAAAAATTAGAGATTATCAGATGAATGTTTTAATGTGCTTTTGCCCAAGGTGTTACCTTAGCAATTATGATTGACATAAGCAATCATAGGAAGGGTTTGTAATGCCAACTTGAGAAAGACTAGGGCACAGCAGCCAAGATATATGCTGAAGGTCAGGGAACATTCAAGTTAGCATTGTAGATTTCTTGCAGATAATATAATGCTAATATTTAAGTATTCACACCCACATTCTGAACTGTATAATTTAAGGAAAATGTTCTAATGTCCCTATCTTTCACATGTCATATTCATCATCAGTGGTAGATATATCTCTGGCTCTTTCTCTCTTCTTTTATGTAAACTATCTTATTCCTTAAGCTGTGAGAATATTAAACTGTCTATAAAACTCCCTAAATTAATCATCCAATAGTTTAAACATAATAAACATGTGAACTGTCTCAGTTAATTGGCCCAAGAAATTGCATTCATCACCAGAATCATATTTTTTCTTTTTCTCACACATTTCTTGTCATAAGCAGGAAGAACTTTCCTTGACAGATGTTGAATTTATATCCAAAATTAGACCAAGACCTTAAATGGAAATTTAAGAAAAAAATTTATTGACTTGGATGATAATTAGATGGTGGTACAAATGGTAGGAAAGGATATGGGAAAGTAGTAAACCTAGACCTGGAGTGAATAGACCTGTAAATATGATGGCAAAAAAGTCACATGCTGATAGGACTCAATTACCAAATTAAAGTAGAAAAACAAAGCTGTATGTAGCATTGAATTGATTTCGTCAGGAAGCAAGGAAAAGACCCTCTGAAGGGGAAGACGAGGTCACGTGCCTTCTGTGCCCCTTGTTTACAGACCCGCACTCATTACTGGTGGGCAGGCCAGTAGCTATTTGCCGTTTGACCTGTGTAAAATATGTCTTGGGGGGTCCAAAAAAGGAAAAAGAGGAGCTTCTTTGCATTATACTTCTGAGCCTTTATGAGGAACACAATTGTGAGGTCCACTTGTTCTAACAAAATGGCAGGAACTGGGAGCTAACAGCCATTGGCAGCACGACAGGCTTAAATCTTCAAAAGGTTATTATTCAGAAGACAGTTGGCTGCTATGCTTCATTCTTTCTGAAGGAATTAAAAAATACGAGGAAACAGACGGAAACTGCAAAGCAGGGAACTGAGTTAGGCAGAGAAAAACATTTCTCAAGGGAAACAACTCCCCTCTTCAGAGCAGTCTTTGGTAATCCACCCATCTGGAATGACTTAGGTACCAATTAGTTGAGCTTGTAAGAAAATAGTGCTAAAATAATAACAATAATTCAAATGCTTCCTCATCTGTAAGTGATAAAATAATAATTTTTGGCAGAGGTGAAATATGAGGACATGTGTAGCCTCACAAGTGACCCCTTGTCACTTGTGTGTGTGTGTGTGTGTGTGAGTGTGAGTGCATGAGCATATATGTCTTAGAATAATTTACTCAGTAAATATTGATTTCTTTTTTATTTACCCTCAGTTTTCTTAAATAAAAATAGGTATGGACCGCATTCATCACAGGATTTGGTGTGATGATCAAAAGGGTTCAGCGGATGAGAAAACACTTAGAAACTACACACACACACACACACACACAGAAGCTATCATTAGAATCTCTGTGGAACCATTTTGCCAGCTGCCCATATACATCACACATTTATAAAGGGCTCTTGTTATAAACTCTTCTATTTCAGACAAAATGTATTTATTTCATAAACATAAACACAAGAATACTTACTCTTACAAGGCTTGGAGGTGGGTAGATCCTAAAAAACTCAAACTTTTTTGATAGTTGGTCAGTCCTAGCATGAGAAAAGAAAGATTATAAGCTAGGAATCAGGCCTGAGTTCACAATGTCACTATTACTTAATGTGTTTGAACCCTGGTTTCCTCGTTCACCAAAAGAAGTACTATCTGTACTATCTACTATGCCCTCTCCCCCTCCCCTTACTGCTCTGCATGCTGGAGATTAAACCCATGGCCTCAAGTATGCTAAGCCAATGAGCTACACCTCCAGCCTCCAGCCCCAGCTAGGATTTTAATAAAATAAAATGCATAAAGCATGACCTATTAAGGGTATTCTTTAATTATTAGGGGCCCTTCTCCTTTCCCTTCACTTGAGGTGCATTGAAACCTGTTATTGGTCAGGGTTCTATTTGAGGCAGGAGCGTGAACACAGGGTTCTCTAAAAAAAAATCTAGAATTTGGAGTAGCTTCAAAGAACAGAGAGAACGACAGGACTGCTGCTCCTAGCACAGGGTGGTCATCGGTTCTCCAAACTGTTCTTTTTTCAGGGCCCTTCCCAGATAGCCTCATTTCCCCCACTTTGGAGTGCTGCACCAATTTACACAGTTTCCAGCCTCAAACTATCCTGTGGGGCCTGTTGTGTCCAGGGGAATAGGGAGAAATTCCTGGCGATTCTTTTTGTTTGTTGAGACAGGGTCTCACTACGTAGTTGAGACTGACCTGGAACTCACTATGTAGCCCAGGCTGGTCTCGAACTCACAGTGATCCTCCTGCCTCAGCCTCTGGAATGCTGGGATTACAGGCGTGCTCCACCACTCCCGGCTAGCTACTTTTAAAAGTTGGTTCAGTCTACCTGTTTTCAAAGAGATCCCGCTCTTGACGAAGTGGAGCATATCTCTACATCCCACTCCTTAGTAGGGGAAGAAAGAGGTGCACAGGGAAAGCTGTGGATTGCACATGTATTTCACATGCATCTGCATGCACATGCTTTAAACAATGAGTGTATGTGGACAAGTATCACTGGAGAGGAAGGCATGCTTTACATCTGGAAGGTTGATGTTGGGATGAATGTATGATCAGTGAAGGGATAGAGTGTAACCTGTTGAGCACAGTGCATGTATACAGGTGTAAATGTCTATCTACAACATGTCCTGGGTGCTAGGGACAAGTGTGTGCATTGTACATGTTGAAGTTTGTTGCTGGTAAGTATGATGGCAGAAAGTCACAAGCTGACAGACTCAGTTACCAAATTAAAATGGAAAAACAAAGCTGTGTGTAGCATTGAACTGAATTTATCAGGGAGCACAAGAAAAAGCTCACTTTCTCAGTCTTGATTTGTCTGAGTCCATCTTTAAACCATTACAATATAAGCATCATATGGCAAACACTTTACCTATTTGCTTCCTGGTATATCTTCAGCACCTAGAACAAAGAGTACTGGCGCAGAGTACAGGTAATATAATTATTCAAATAAATATTGGGATAAATATCAGATTAATGAAAAACAATTTATTTCAATTGCCGCTGGGTGATTTTGGCTCTATCAATTGATGGGGGAGCAGGGATGATGGCAAGGACAGATTAGGACTAGCAAGACACTGAGCCTGAGGCAGGGAAGGTATGTGAAGAATTGATTCAAGCAGGCTCCTTGGAGGGACAGGCATAAAGTTTTTTTTCTGTTTGTTGCAGTGCTAGGCAAGTTCTTGACTACTGAGCTACATCCTCAGTCTGGATGAGCCAGAACATTCCACAAGAATTTATCCATTGGGTACTTACTATCTAACATTTTATAAGTATGCTTTGTGTGGCGGGTGCAGTGTTTGGTGATGTGATCATAAATATGGATAGGCTGTGGTCTTAAAAGTATGCATTTTGGTGATGATTGGTGTGGAAATAAACATTTAAAAATGGACATGGGCCTTAGCAAAGGCCTTTCCAAAGTGTTATGGGAGCAGATGGGGTGAATGAATAAGTGTGAGAGAGAAGCTAGGTTTGAAACCAATTGAGCTAGGGTTTGAAGCATGAGTTCTTACTCATTTGCTAAAGACAAAGGGGAGCTTGGTTTCCAAAAAAGAGTAGGACAAGTCCATGATGTTCTGGGGATACAGCAAGGGGCTCAGCTTATCGTGCACTGTGGTAAATGACATGGAAAATGCATGAGGAAGCCAGGCTTTTAGACGCAAAGCTCCTCAAGATGCCTTAAAGCAGATCATCTGTGAAGCAAAACCTAAAAGCAATGTGTGATATCCGGACTGCACATGCAGCATTGCTTTTATACTTATTGTCAGCAACAGAAAGAGGGTAATGTGTGGGTAAAGATATTGAAAAGTTACGTGGAAATTTTTATGAGACAATATCAAATGAACAGAGTTGTAAAATGCAAATGAGAAGAAGAGGGGAAATGACTATTGAAGAGACTAACTGAAAGAACATAAATCCACTAAAGGGAACATGGCATACTTGTAGAAAGATGGCTCAAAAACACTCACAAAGCAGCATATAAATAAATGCAAATAAATACAGCACAGACTGAGTCCCATGGTGCTATGTGAACACAGAATAAACAAGGAACCAATATTGGGTGAGGGAAACTAGGGACTGCTTCTTGGAAGATGGGAATTTAATTATTAGATATACTGGGATAAGTGGATGTTAAATAGAACTACTCAGAAAATAAGTCAACCAAATTTCAAAAAATAGAATAAGAAAAATTTCAGAGACTAATCAAAATTTGCTCCCCTGACACACTCCCACCTTGGGCTGAATTTTTTACCTGCCACAGTGAACATGTTACTCATTTGTCACTCTGAGCAATCTGTTTTTATTTCCTACTCTGCAGGCACCCGCTCAGACACTCTGTTCTGTTTCTCACAGGTAATTATGACTCTCAGATTTCCTGTGGCTCCAGGAATATGGGGGTCAGGCTTCCCTAGACCACAAGAGGTAATTATCCAGGCAATTTAGGTGTCAATTCTACTTTATTTGAATAATCATGCTCATCTATTCATTTTTCTGCTTCCCAAAGCCTTGGCAGTTAACTACCCATCCCAGGGATAGCATATGTCATGGGAAGACTTAATAATGTCCAAGGAAATGTGGCTGTGTTGACCTCATGTAAGATCCACTGGGTCTCTCAATTACCTTTTCTAGGTGCCACTGGGGGTGCCATGCACAACAATCTTCAGGAGCCTGTGTCAACTTCCTGTAGATAGAAGGGTGCAGACAAATTCCTGGTTTTATTTATTAGGTTTGAAAGTCATTGTACTGTATATTTCTCTCATCTAGAAAAGAAAGATGAGTTTGAGGGGATTCCTGACCGTGGGCTCTAAGCCAGAAAACTGTAGCCTAGACTGCTATCAATAAAATGTACTTGCCTTAGGTAAAGAAATAATTAAAACTCAAGAGTATTTGATCACTTAAATAACAGTGGGAAGGGAGGTGGTAAGTATCCAGCCCCTCTGGGTCATGTAGACATATGTCCTGTGCACAAGGTCCTTAGGTATCAGTGGCAACAGGGAAATCCTAGAGTGGGGACTGGGTAAGGACATACAGCATACATGTGATGGGAGGCCACAGCCTCTGCACACCCACAATCAACATGAGGGATCTGGCTCAATTGTACCTGTGCTCCATGATCTCTAAGCAACAGAAGGCACACCAGCCAGAAAGGGCCTGGTGTGGCCTATCCTCTGACCAGTGTGATCCAGTTAAAACAACCCATAGGGGCTGTCTTCATGGGGTCCCTTGTAATGCAATGGTTATCGTGGTTCATCATATCAAATCAAACTCATCCCATGTGCAGCCCAATTCCCACCCTACCACCCCTACTCCTCCTCCATCTAATGTATTCCTAAATGCAGTCACATCTCTGGCTCAAGTATTCTACTTCAGCTTTTTCATAAACAACATACTCATACAAAATCTTAAGACTTCACATAAAAAATGCTAACCTCTTCAGTAACTCAAAATTCTCTCCTTATAGAGGAAAGGAGAAGTTGAAGGGAGGGGAGGGGAATGGGAAAAGAAGAACCAAGATGTGCAGGTACAAATTCCCTGTGATGAATGTGATAATTACGTGTATCTAAAATGTATCAATTAAAATGCATCTAAAAATTGAAGTAAAAAAAGTCTTCATATAAAAAATTTTTTTTTTAAATTTTTTGGTACCCGGGATAGAACTTGGGTCCTTGCACTTGCTAGACAGGTGCCAGAACCACTGAGCTAAATCCCCAGCCCTTCATATAAAAAATAAAGGTCAGCATGGCAGGCCCGTGTCTGTTTTGCTGTTTTCAAAATTTTTTGTAGGAACTCATGAGGGCATTTACCAACCAGACAGTTAGGGAACTTGTCATGGTGGGGTACCAGTCACGGTGGCAGAGGGAAGAAGCCCCCACCTATCACTACCCCCACCAGATCCAGGTTTAGCCCCAACTTTCACCCCTTTGTCAGTATGAAGCAGCTCCAGAAGAAACCTTCACCCAATAATCATAAAACAAAAGCCTGGAATGTTAGATTTCTCTCGCCTTAGATGGCCGCTACATAAAAAGAATAGCCTTCCCATAATGCTCTGCTTCTCACCTAAAAATATGGCTTCTCCCACTAAAGGACAGCCTTCTTCTTCCCATCATGCCTCTTCCTGGCAAGAGAGAAGCCCCTCTAGTGATGTCACAAGCTCCCCCAATCCCTACTCACTACATCACTCAATCCCACCTCAGCACCTATAAGCCCCACCCCAGTCCTATCAGAAACCTCCCTGTCTTGGCCATATTGCTCTCTCTCCTTTGTTTGGAGACAGCCTGGCAGATTGTCCCTAAAATAAAGGCCTGCAGTGGTAAAAAACAAACAAACAAACAAATAAATAAAATGGAGGCCAGGCATGGTAGCGCATACCTATAATCCTAGCACCTGGGGGGCTGAGGCAGGAGGATTGTCATGAGTTTGAGGCCAGCTTGGGCTACAAAGTGAGTTGAAGGCCAGCCTGAGCTGCATAGTGAAACTCTGTCTCAAAACAAAACTAATAATAATAGCTAATATTTCTTGAATATTTTTACATGCCAGGCATGAGATCTCAATAAAACACAGGATGAAAGAAAAAAAATGGAGTAATATTTTTGAAGAGTTGGGGGAAAAGAACTTTGAATCCAAAAGTTTATACCTAGTCAAATTGTTTTTTAATTGTGAGGGTATAATAAGAATATTCTCAAAAGAATATTCTCAGATATAAAAGGCCTTAGAAGATTAGTCATAAAGGGTTCAGATTTAAAAGATTATTGGGGAAAATACTCAAACAAAAAGAGAAACAAATGAAAATAACACCACAAGGAAAACTGGGAAGAAAAGATTATTAAGCATTTTGGTTAAGTTTATTTTTATATAAAACAGCAAGGATTGGGCCGGGAATTTAGATCAGTGGTTCTGTTGCCTGCCTTGCAAGCACAAGGTCCTGAGTTTGATCCCTGGTACCCTGGTACAAAAAAAAAAAAAGCAAGGATTAAACAAAATAAAAAAGGCATAGCTAACACAACTTCAAACTGAAAATCCAGACAATGTCCACATGGTAGAGGAATGAATTTTGGAAGACAAATATGACCAACATTCTGAAGAACTTGGCCTATTAGGCTCTGAGGTAATGATTTATTTAAGAAATTAAAGGGGGCAAATAGCAGGACTGTGGATATTAAGTTAAGGACAAAGACATAAGAACTTTTAAATCAGCAGAAGGAAACTTGGTCTGTCAAATGGAGGCAGTGAAGGTAAAAAACAAAAAAAATTGCTGATAATTATTACATCAAATAAAAATTTCCAGTGATGAGCATAAAGAGCACATGAGTAAAATTAATAGAAATATGACAGATTTTTAAAAAACTAATTGTAATATTTAAACTTGAGAAAAAGATTCAATGGCCAGACTTGTGCTTTTTAAACTTCAGTGTACATATGAAATATCTGGGGATCTTGCTTAGAGACCCTGCCTCAGTAGGTGTGGGGTAAGACCTAAGATTATGCATTTCTTATAAGCTCTAGGTAGTGTCAAAACTACCGGTCATGAACCACTCTATAAATAGTTAAGACCTTGATTGTATAAGAAACACATGTGAGTAAATAAGAAAGGGACAATGCAAGTTGTGTGGTACCTTAGTACCTGGTACTCTAGAGGCTGAGGCAGGAGGATCACTTGAGCCCAGGAGTTTGAGTCTAACTTGCGCAACACAGTGAGCACCCTTTCCCCCCCAAAAAAAAATAATAACTTTAGTAGAATAATATGAAGGATGTAATGAAACACATACATGAATATGTGTTTCACAGTATTCTAAAGTGGTGTGTATTGGTAGTCTATTCTTTTTCATTGCTGAGAAGAATCCCATAGTTTCTGACACAATTTGCCTATCCATTTAATGGACATTTGGGTTGTCTCCAGTTTCATTTTTTTGTGTGTGTCAGGATCCTGGGATTAAACCTGGGGCCTTGTACTGCACTACATCCCCAGCCATTTTTTCTATTTTTAACTTTAAGACAGGGACTTGCTAAGTCACTAAATTGCCCAGGTTGGCTTGAACTGCAATCATCCTGCCTCAGCCTACAGAGTGCTGGAATTGCAAGTATGTGCCACCAGCCAGATTCCAGGTTTTTACTATTACAAATAAAGTTGTTATGAATGTTTATGTACAACTTCTGGTAGGAACACATATGTTCATTTATCTTGGGTAAGTATCTAAGAATGCAATCGATGTGTTTTGTGACAAGGGTATGTTTAACTCAATAAGAAACTGCTGAATTGCTTTCCAAAGTAGCTGTACCCTTTTCTAGTACTATTTTCCTGCACTATTGAGTTCCAGTTGCTCCACATGTTCATGAACATGTGTTATTATTGAGCTTTTTAATTTTTAGCCACTGTAGTGCTGTGCAGTATCTTACTGAGATTTCACTTATTCAGTTGGTGGTTTTGGGGATTGAACCCAGGGCTTTCACGCTGAGTTATTTCCCTAGCCCTTTTTATTTTTAATTTTGAGACAGGATCTTTCCATTTCAGACATTATATTTACAGGTTGACGAAATCCACTCAGGAAATCTCCTGTCCTCCTTATGCTCTGTCTTCCTATGAGTGTTTCTACATATTTGTAGTTATTTTTTTAAGGCCATTGTCTTCTAATTTCATTATCTCTGTCAGTTGTAGGTCTGTTTCTCTTGACTAATTTTCTACACTATACGAACCACAATTGGTTGCTCTTTTTGCCCGTCTGATCATCTTTTGTTGGATACTGGCTACTGGCATTGTGAATATTTCATTAACTGGAGTTTTCTGTCTTCCTTTTTTTTTGGTACTGAGGATGGAACTCAGAACCTTGCACTTGTGAGGCAGCACAGAGCCACTGAACAAAATCCCCTGCCCTTTCAATCTTCCTTTAGAGAACATTAAAACAGGATCTTGCTAAGTTACTAAATTGCACAGGCTGGGCTTGAACTTGCAATCTTCCTGCTCCAGTCTTCTAGAGTTCTAGGATTATAAGCATGCACCATCATGTCCAGCCTTACTAGGTCTTTAATTTGCAGTCCCCTGATTACAAAAGACATCGATGCATTTATCAACCCTTCATACATGGGATTTTTTTTTTTTTTTGGTGGAATGTCTGCTCATATCTTCTGTCTGGTTCTGGTTTGTCTTGTTGTATGGGTATAAGGTGGAATTCACCACTAAAGCCATCTGGTTTCGTTGTTTTCTCCAGGGGAAGGTTTTTAGTTGTAATTTTAGTTTCTTTGATAGAGATAGAGTTGTTCACATTTTGTACTCATTTGACAGTTTTGGTAAATAGCTTTCAAGAGTTTGTCCATTTCATCTAAATTGTCAAATTTATTGACATAAAGTTGTTCATGATTTCCTCTTGTTAGTCTTTTAAAGTCTATTGAATCTGTTCATCCCTGTCTTGTAATCTCTGTATTCCCAGTTTTTCATAACCAATCTAGCTAAAGGTTTATCAATTTTATTAATTTATTCAAGGTTACCACTTTCAGTATCATTTATTTTCTCTATTGTTTGTCCATTTTCTATTCATTGATTTTCAGTCTAATCTTTACTACTTTATAAAATTTATTTTTGCTCATTCTTTGTAGGTCCTTAAACTAGATTCTTAGATCATTGATTTGAAACCTTTCTTAAAAGCCTTCACAGGCAGAAGTTTCTTTTAGCTATTCTTTTTATATTAT